TAATCGCTCGAGTCGATTCCAGTCGAGCGAAATTAAGCGCAAGCACGACATCAAAGGTGTCAAAGCTCATCAAAAGCTTTCTCAAGTTAAATCATCTCAGACGTAACATTCACAACAACGCAGCGCAGCAAACATACTAAAACCTTTATTGCAATTGTTTTTATTAGGTTTTTGTAGGTGTTTGTGGCAGTTTTATAACAGTTCGGATACAGCCCAGTAACATCCTCTGGACATACTCAAATATCAGGAATGTAAGTCACGTGAGCCGACGGTAAGCAACGTTGCAGTCGTGGGAGGGCTCTCGAGACAACATTGCTAATTGCATTGGTTTGCGCTCCCTGCTCGCCCTGTAAGCGCCGAGCACGAAGAACGACAGCGACGGGACTCGAAGGGAATTCAGAAGCAGTAAAAACAAGAAAAAAACATGAGCAAAATAAGACAAACAAAGGAAACTATGACTGAAACAGTAAAAAAACTAAAACCGAAAAGAAAACAAGCAAAAACTGCTGAACTGCGCATTTGGAAATATTTTACTTTATATTATACTGCTGGCATGCATATTATTGCACCCCAAACTTAAAAATGCAAATGAATTGTTACGATTTCACATTCCAGCGGAGGTTTTACTGTTATGTGTCAATAATCTCCATGCTTGCCACGCGGTACAAACGTAGAAAGATAAAAATTAAACCGTAACACGTTTCTCAACGTTTCAGCCGAGAGGGCGTTTAAAATTTCAATGTTACGGGACGTGCTGGCGCCGTCGCCGCCCCCGACGTTCTGCACGTATAAAGATCGCTAATTAGTGCAATTTTAAGGTCAGTTTAACGTGATTGCAGCGCGTTTTTGCCGGCTGTGTCGAGCGTGCTCTATAATTAAGCTGATTTTTTTATGTCACAAGCTTTTAATGTTTTTCGAGCCTTTAATTTATCCAAAAGTGGTACTGAAAGCCATGTGCCAAAAGTTTATTTTTAGAAATGACTAGTAGTAATGTTTTTTTGCACTCTTTTAGGTCGTGTTATTTTTTTCTCAGGGATATATTTCCGCTTGGTCTGTTTGCATATCGTTGTACACACAACAAACACGATTAAATATTAATTCGGCGTTAAATTCTTCAGACGTGTGCGTTCGCCGGCAGCACCGCAGGGCGCGTTCGAGTCGAAGCGATATTTTCGTGCAGCGCGCCAGAAAAGCAGCGCCCATAAACCTAAACGAACGTGTTCGTTCATTCGTCCGCGCGATCGCGTTTTTGTTTGCGCGCACGAAAGCCGCAGAGCCAGGTAGGTAATCTTCGTCGGGATCAAATCAACCGTGAACGACATATCGACACAACTACCTACAGCCAACACCAAAGCTGAAATATATATTTTCACTCACCGTGCGAGTGAAGCATGTAAAACATTTTAGTAAAATTAACATAGGTGGCGTTGTCGTCAATGTAGGTTATGTTAAATGAGTTGAGTGCGAATGCTTTTTCGAGTGCCTGTCCATTCAGGGAACAATGTCGCTTTGTCTCGTTATTATTATTTCCAATTATATTTTAATTAAGGTTCGATTACTGTGAAATTACAAAATATTCGTCGAGTGGAGCGGTGCGAGTGTGGCGGACCGAGTCGACTGTGGTTCTTTGTTTTGATTAGGTTGCTATGGTAACGGCCGATTTAATAGCCGTTAATTTACTTTTATAATCGCCGCGAAACTGGGAGCGCATTGGAAAAGCCTTTCGTTTCGAACGCGAGCACAAACATACCGGCGATGGGAGTTGCTCGCACAGTTTACTAGCTTCGGAAGTCGTTCGTAATAAATGCAGCAATTTTCGCGTTTAACTACACTGGCGAACGAGAGGTGAAAATAAATCATCGGCGGGTTGTAAAATTCTAATGCGATGAGTGCGGCTCGTAATCGTAAAAAATCACGAGAAAAGTAACTTACAAGTATCAAAAATGCCCAAAATCGTATCCAGCAAGTTGAATATCGTGCAAAACTTCTCATTTCCCTAACATTTTAACGCTCCTATAAAAATGCGAATTTGTAATTAAGCTCAACTTAATTATGCACTACGTTGCGGCATAATAGGATTTATTTGCCCCATAAATGAATGCTAAGTCTAAGTCTATTCGGGTATTTTCTGACTGTTGGTCTGTCGATGCGATTAAAATTAAAGCGGGCAAAACACTGACAGATGTTACGTCGTTGGCGCTGGCGGGTGGATCGTGCGTTATGCAAGCGCCGCTGAAATATTAACAATATTGATCCGAGAGTCAACACAACGCAACCGTGTAATTAACGCCCGCACACAACACCGTACCTCCGTTCAACGCGTTACAATGTGATGGTCTAAACGTGCGCTATAAATAATGGAAAGGTTCGGGGAGAGTTAACACCCCTCCTGCACGACCATCGAGGTACGGAGCTTGGATCAGCTCCAGGAGCAACCAAAAATAGAAATAGAAGCAGAAACATAAACCAGAAATAGAAACGACATTTCCCTGGATAACAACGGTAAACTTAGGTTAGGGTTGGTCCAATTGAAGATGAATTCCTTCAAGTCAGCTTTATTGCGCTTGTAGCAAAATTTGAAACCTAAACTTGAAACGGGCTGATCTGATGATAACAGAGGGTAAAGTAAACTAGAAAGGTGATAGCCACCCCAGTTCCCCATCAGAATGGGTTCGTAAAGGTGGGTATAGATCGTTCGCACGGCACCCGGCCTTCCTTTCAAATTTCCGGTCGAAATGTTAATGGCCAATAATACTCGCGATAATGTGATAATGCGGAGATACCTTAACCTGTCTGGACTTACGCTGAAACATTGAGGGTTAAACATCCAATCGCGCACCACAGTAATTTACTGCACCATTTCCAAACATACAATTGTAATGATGTAGTAATTAAATGTGGGTACTTAAAATTTGCTTAAAGTAAACTTTTCAAAATATTTAGCTCAGAAGAATTATCAAGATCGTGTGACAACTGAACAGATCGCTATCCGCAAGTTAAACCTACTTTCACCCTGGCGTGCAATTCTAAACATGCAGGTAAATAAGTGGATTATCAGCAGAATTACTGACGAATTCACGACCCACGCATGTACTATAGCCAATTATCATAACATAAAACATATAGTTCGCGTTATAGTTATGCAAACACGCAAAGACCTAAATTTGGGCCAAAAATACTCCATTCGCGTGCGGCGCTCGTAATTTAAGCGCCGAAAAACGACGACAAGTAAAATCAGGAAATTAAAAAAAAAATGAAGCATTTTTTGAATTCACACTCGAAGGGTTGAAGGTTTTTAGCGCTGATGAGAAATGCCTAGGACGTGATGACGCCGGGGTGGTCCTAGGAGTGCCTACAAACCTCGTGTATGTGCTAAAAGGGCCAGAAGTGCGCGATCATAATTCATTTAAAATTGCCTCCCCCCGTGCCAAACTGCTCGCGTGCGGCGCGAACGTAATTTCGTCTAATTGAGAAAACAATGTTGGTATCAAAACATTCTGTTAGAGAGTCATTCCGAACGACTACGCATGCCGGCAAACACGCTAACGCAAAAGGAAAAAGCCGCCGTAAAGGAACCAAAAAAAGTTGGCAGGGGGTAAAAATGAGCTAAAATAATATTTGCTTTGCTTTAAAATATCATATTTCATTTGCAAGAGAGTACGCCAAGTCTACTAACATCCAGCGTCTACAGTATGTTCCCATAATATAAAAAATCCTCCCTCATTCCTAGTTTGTTCTTTTTTATGATTTAATTAAAGTAAAAGTTTTGCGTTGACAAAACAGCTCTTGAAACACGGTTTATTAGGGTCGCACCGGTTAGTTATTTAAGATATGAACGACATAAAAGATATAAACCACCCTCCTCCAGCATGCAGGGTGCGTTTAGGGTGGCCGGCGTGTTTTGACAATGCGTCACATGTAACCGAACCGGCGTGGCGCGCGCGCAATCACGAACTTTATTTTTTATATTACGATTATTACTCTGTGTCTACTTTCGTACACCAACAACCCCCGCACAAAGGAATAGTATTTAGGGGCGGCTCGTCAGAGGGTGGCATGTGGGCATATGTTCTCGACATGAAACTAACTATTTTCAAGTATATAATATACAAAATAAGCATAACACAGTTAATTAAAGTAAAATCTGTATTTTTTAAAAATTTAATATAAAATTCATATAAAATACCAAAATATTGAGATTATTCTCGAATATATTCAAAGAATCCCACAAAGTTCGTTTGTGTGGAGTGGATTAAAAAAAAGTTTGTTGAGAGACTGTGCGAGAGGTGTGAAATGCGTGGTTCCTTTCATCCGACGCCAAGGTGTGAAAACCGGCACTCGGCTTTGTTTCCCCCCGTCATTCCCTTCCCATCGCCACCACTCGACGGTCGCGTTGGGCCCGTTGTGTCGCGGTCGTTCACGGGGCATGAATGAACGAATGCGCTTATTGTGAATATTCCCGGCCGTACGCGCGCGCGATATCACCCCTTTTATTTACACATCGGATGGGATCGAGCCCGAAACGGAGCCCGCGTTTCCGCCACAATAAAAAATACTGCCGCCACTAAACCAGTAAGTTAAAATATTTTTTCAAATTAAATCTTCCACATATAAAATTTTAATCCGTTAAAATTTTAATTTTTTTCAATTTTATTTTTATTTTAAGAAGTGCAGTTTTGATGACACTTTGTATATGAAAATCTTAAGAATAGCATGTAATAATACGTCGAAAACCGGCCGACTACTGGCCGACGATCAATCATCCTGCGAAGGCGTTTTGCCCGATCATCGCGTCGTCATTAATAACGACAACATCATCAAAGTGATTACAAAGCGAGCGAACGCGTTAATTTTTTCGTCGGCGCGCAACCCCGACGCAGATTACCACGGCGGGAAGTAACAAATGCCTTTTTTGCGTATTTTGTTATCAATTTTCCACCCTGCGGGACGTAACAAACACAACGTAAAAACTTACAAAGCAATGAAAAAAGTGTACTTACATTGCACCCACATACAACGAATCCCTCTTGACGTCCAAGTGGAAGGTCCGATAGTACATCATGCCGCAGGCAAACTCCCTCACATGATCTGCAAACGAAAAGGGCACGAATTACAATCAAATTCAGCAGCAGCAGCCGAACACTTGGAGATAAATTACACATGTACCACGCACACGTCCGGCCACGCGCGGGATTTAATAACGCTGGCCCTTCATTGTCCTCATGGCGAAAAATTCGAATGCGAGAGCGATTAAACGCAATAAAATGAAAAACGCATAAATATCAATGCGTGTGACCATGAGAGAGAACCGCAAAATGCAATATCCGTGTGGAGATTCAAACGGTGGGCGAGGAGGCGAAATCGACACCCCAAAACAACCATAACAAAGATATCAGAAACCGCACGAATTGTCTTTATGCAGGACCTCGTCGATTATTAACGGATTAAAGTTGAGGTCTTCTTTTGCTCCCACAAGGGTAAAACAACCATCAAAATAAAATAAAAACTTTTTTTTTACAAATATTCCCAATGATTCTTTTCTTCACTTGAAGATTTCCTATTATGAAATAAAAGAGAAGTAGAAAATAGAAATAAGAGTCCCAACATTAATTCTCCAATTTATTTTTCATTTCCTTTGGAATCTTTTATTTTTATTTTCTTTCGTGCTCGATTTTCACGCTCGGCGGGCTCGACGCGGGTATTTTTCCAGGTATTTTATTCCGGCGGGCACGGCGAATAAAGGTAATAGCAGGTAATTACCGTCGAAAAATTGTCTCGACGATGAGCGCCGCAGCGACCCGCTTATGAGCTTTAACTCCGTCGGTTGGAGCGTTTATTTCGAGCCGTCGGTTCGAGCCGGCCAGACGTCCATCAAGCTGACACAAGACGCAATGGGGAAAAAAGCACCACGGGAGAAAAGCGTGCACGCGACCCAAAACTAATTCTCGATTATTCCACGACTTGCAGCCAATTGTAGAGATATAATTTGAAATTTCAAGTATTAAATATTTAGTATTGGATTAAATTCGTGTACTCGTCGCACGTGTGCGAGATTATAAAATAATTAACGAGCAATTAAAGGCCGGATTACACGATTAGTCCGCAGTACATTTCCACGAAAACCTGCCGCCCAAAAAGCGCCCACAGCGACCCCTATTAAATGAATTAAATGCCTCAGAGATAAAAACTTTGTTTTGACTTGGCTGTGGAAAAAAAGTTGGGCGCAACTTTTTTAAGTAGCGACTTAATATCAACACGTTGAAACACAACTGTAGCGCACAAGATTTTGTTATCTCACGATGAAGTTTTAACGAGTTTTGCGAGAATTTACGATTGTCGACGTGGTAAAGATTTATAAGGTATAAATCAAGAATTTCCCACTACGGGGGCGGCACTCGCAGGAATGTATTAATGGTATTTCTGCTAGGGATAGACAAAACTAACTATTCGGACGATGGCACGACGAATATGTGAGAGTCGAATTTCCTGAATGACCGAAATTGTAATCTACGCGCCAAGTTGTTACAGCCAACCACCGCCACCGCCGTCACCAACATCAACATCCTGTTTGTGTTCGAATTTCAAGTTGTCGATGGAAAATGTGGTCAATGCTGGGAATTACATTGTGTGAGAAATCAATTTACACATTTTTTTAGTTCACCTACTTTGAAAAAAGAAATAATCAAACAAGTGCAACTGAAATGAAATTATAATTACTTAATCCTGTTGTTTTTTCTCAATAATGATTCATTCAATGTCATAATGAAATGCTGAATTAATGTCCAACAAGCATGAAATAATGTCCACTTCATTGGAATATCAAACCACAGGCTTCCTGCTGGCTAGCAGGTACAATCTGGTAAAATAACCAGCTCAAGCGCATTCCTTGCATGATAGCACGATATTACGAGATTATTATAAATTGAAAGTAATTTTTTTCCGGTTGTTATTTGCTAGCCCCTCGGCCCAACGAAGAAAAAAAGAGGAAAAAAATACACAGTGCACGGGTTATCAAGTTACTCATGCATCGCTTAAATATGCACCTCGTTTCCTTTGATATAATTCAGAACGACGCATGTTAATCCGATGCCCGTGCGCATATACAACCGTCGAGCGTTCGAGCCTCAAGAAAACACATAATTATGCTTCGAGCTGGTGCTTTTAGTGTATGTTTGTGTGGAAATGGATGCAAATGTGTTTGTTGGTCGCCCGCGCTATCGGGCTCGGCTTGTTAGACGTGTAATCATGCGATATTTGCATCCATTTCGAGAATGTGCAGTCGACGTGGAAACGAGAAAACGTGGAAGGGTGGAAAGATAACGTTCAGGCAGTGCACGCGATCTTCATCCAATCACAACTGGACGTTAAAGGTTTAAATCTAACACTAGCATTAGTCGAACTATGTAGCCTATTGAATTGTTGTAATTTCACTGTCCATCAACATAATCTTCTTAGATATAGAATTAATCTACATTTATTCGTCGGAATAAATTTTTTCAAAATGAAAATTACCTTTTAATAGTGATTACTTGACTTGCAAGTTGAAAAAGCACGTTCTCATTGTTAAGAGAAAGAAAAATAGGAGCTGCATGCAGGTTGCACTTGCACCATACTTAATTCCACATTTACGAGCACAATATTTTTTCTGCCAAGCAAGTTAAGTTAACTCGACGAAAATCATGCTCTATTAAATTATCCAACTTGATTTGGTGTGTGTGTGTGTGTGCGTGTGGTTGCATGGGAAACAGTTTGTGCAAAAGTTATAATTTCACTTTAATCTACGACTCGTAAAGTAATAATAAACCATTATTATTAAAGCGGGCGGGTGCTCGCGAGATGGAAATTGCAATGCGCGCGCGGCGGCGCGCCGAGGGGATAATGGTCCAATTTCGCCTCAAATATACAAACAAGTTTATTATAATATGCACACACGGTTGCATAGCCGGCCGCACTACTTTATATTCTATACGTTCCAGTTAGTATCGGTATCAGGGCGTAGGGAAAGCCAAGGAAACTGCCCTGTAGGTATATGATCGCAGGTATTAGACGATATTAACCCTCAACGAGCTTAATATTCACGATATTGGATGATAAGCAAAATAGTAATTTTTATAAAATATCTTCTGACGAAAAAAAAGTTAAACAATTCACGTGAATCTTCATCATAAGAAAATTGCACGTCAATATTTCGTACATTGTGACATGTGAAAAAGTAATACAACTCATTACAATAAAAGCCCCTAATAGCATAGGCTACAAAGAAATATATGAATAAAAAACAGCCATTTTATCCGTGACCAATTAGGATAAGAGTATGTAATGGATAAGGACTTCCACCCTGCGCACTCCAAACTCGCTGCCGACTGAAAAAAAAGCGCTGCTTCACGTAATTCACGCGCAGAACATAAAATTGGTTTGCTTTAAACACTAGTTACTCGTTCACCGGTAGCTCACAAAGTTGACACGCAACCGTTTACAGGTTCTAATAACACAAGTCAAAGTACGGTTATCAGCTAGAAGGTAAAAATTGACTGGTAGTGGCATGTTTCGCACTTTTTGAGATAACCAAGTTCATACCTCATTGAGTGCAAATTTTACAACGTGCAAAAATAAATTAATAACCACCTAGCTAAAATAAATGTTTTAATCGGTGCTAAACACGATATTTATAGAAATATATTTATTATGAAAACAAAAAACAGGTATTTTTGGTATTTCTTGTGGATATTGCGCCGTCGTATAAGTCGAGTCAATTTCCTGTTTAATTATGAGTGTGTGTCTCGTCTTTGTCCGCTGCTGGTCGAACAAATATAAATATTACGAGCGTAAATAGAGTTCGTCCGGCCAGTCGGCCAGTTTATGGATTTTTTACGTCTCGTGTAATATTGAGCTCTGCGAGCTTATTTAAGTTTATATTTTGTTTACGCCAAGCATACATGATGAGTCGTTGTTGGTGCAACAACGTAGACGATATTGATTGGTTTGGATTCATTCATTGTATTAGTCATCCTATTTTTTTTAAAGACAATAAACGTATTATCAATGTAATTGCGGTTTAAAAACCAAAATTATGACCAAATAATGACTAAATTACCTAAATATATCTAAAAATATAATAATTAATTCTATGAATTTTGTTATAGAACTTTCGTGCATCACGCCATATTTTTATTTTTTTGTCTTCATACAGCTTTATTTAATAGTCTAATTTAGTTCAACTCGTTCTGGAACACGACTCAACTACATTAAGTCCTAATCTTTTTGAAATCTCAATGTAAGTTTTATTTCTTTTCTGTTTTGAAAGCAAAGATCAAATGGATTCCAAATGCAATTTTCTTTCAAAAAGCAGATAAACATAAATACCAGGAATATAAATGTAATCTAATAATCAAATTTTTCGACTTTGTATTGCCCTGCAATCTTGTAAAACTATGTTGATTGTCCTCGTGATTTATTTACTTATTGTTAGTTTTATCCTGTTTTAGTCTGAATCGCGATAGCAGTAAATAAAGTGCATAACAAGATTTGCGATCTAGAATCTAGCGTAGTGCATCTTTTATTTTTTCTGCGCTAGATTCAACACAATAACATCATCATTCCACCATCTCTTCTTCCTAGCTTGGCGGCGCTCGCAAACTGCAGTAAATTATCATATTTACACGAAAACTAGCTGGCACGACTCCGCCCCCTTCTTTTGGAGTAAACTCCTTCATTGCGTTCGTTTTGCTTGTGGGCATGTAGATATACTAATATTTCCGTTCGCGTTATTTGGCGTTTGCTACCACGCGTGCTTGCGATGTGTGCAGATGTGGGGAAAACATGTCTGCGTCTAATATATTAAGTCGCGCGCCATAATTTTGCTTTATGGCATCCATCCGAGATTGGATCCATTCGAGGGGGTCGCGAATACGCCGCCCGAATTTGCTTCAATTTTCGAGCTCAAGAAATCGCATCTCGCGAGTTAAGACTTTTGGCAAGCGACTTGGAACTTCATCCCTCGCACAATGCAAGAGTAGCTGAAAATAAAACGAAAACGAATCCAGAGGATCGCCGAGGAGGAGTGTGTGCATGTCGATGCGAAACAATAG